TGGTCAGGCAGAAGAAATGCTTGGGCCTAAAGTGGGAAAATTTTGAAAATCGTATAACTTCGTATAATGTATGCTATACGAAGTTATTTCTCTCTCTCTCTCTCTCTCTCTCTCTCTCTCTCTCTCTCTCTCTCTCTCTCTCTTCTCTCTCTCTCTCTCTCTCTCTCTCTCCTCCTCCTCTCTCCCTCCCTCTCTCTCTCTCTCTCTCTCTCTTCCTCACACGTTTCCGTATTGAATGCGAGTCGACCGTGAAACGAGTCTAACGAGTCTAACGAGAAAATCGTCCCGCGCACATCGCCGCGCCCTCCCCTTCTCCCTCTTTCGCGAGGGAGATATTAAAGAAGATATTAAAACCGTAAATTCGCGTTTACCGATGCACCCTCAATTTCAACGCTCGCTTTCTTCCCGAGCAGCGGTCTGATACCCGCCGAATGATTTGCCGAAGGCAGATACGTTCCCCTTTCGTGCACGAACAAACAACGACATAGGGGAGGAAATAATCGCGGGATCGGAGAAATGGCGAATCGATATATCGAGACTCGAGCGTGCATGGACATAAAGATCCGATGCACTTGCGCCTTTTGCGCTTTATTGTCGCGTTGGAGTAAAATTAAATCAATGTTATTTCTTTTTTCTACATTACCGAAACCGCATCTCGCACGTCCGCATCTCCCAAGATCAATTCCTGACAATGCCTTCACCTGCAAATATAAAATTTCACGTCAGGAAAAAGGCTTGTACGGGACATTTTATCGCGCTTATATTAGATCGACTGTGCCATTAAAAATTATTAACGAGGGAAATGCCGTTAATGTCCATGCTTCCGCTTTTCTGCAGTTCGTTTTTTAAATTTATTCGAGCGAGCTCGATACGACACTTTTTTTACAAAAAAAAAAAAAAAATGAAAATTGATTAATTAATTCTATGCCTTTGATTGCTTTTGATGTTAATGGATTTTAGCGCGACTTGTTAAAACGTAGTGACATTTTTATTATTTTTGTAATACAATGAAAAGAACAATCGTATTTTGCGTAATTTACGTGGCAGATAGAAATATATAATATTTGTTAATATAACAATCGCAAATTAACTGTGCAAAGCCTTTTAAAAAAATAAACAATATTAAATCGGATGTTAAAACAAACAAAGTCGTAATAACTATTTATTTTTGAAACAAAGAAATATAAAGAAATTTCAATACCACATTATATTTTTACGTGGATATTTTCAATCAGAAAACCGCCCGTGCAGAAAATATTGAATCTCTTTTTCATTCATATTCACGCTATAAAACGGCATGCGGTAAGAGAAAGTACATGAAAAATGATTATTGTTTCTTTCACGCTGAACAGATTTGTTTAATCAGATGAGCATCACCAAAGTATTTTGCCATTTTTAATCGCCTTTTCCATTTATCAATCTTGAACGCGCGTAATGCGTAATAGCTTCTGATAAGCGCTTCATTCCTCCGATAAATCCAACTAAATTATTACAATTGCTTTTAAAGACGAGCTAAGTAGTTCTTTGAGTTCTTAATGCTTGCTTTTCTATCAAATGGTGGCTGACTGAAGAATCGATACGGTCGGAGTTATTTTAGCGGAAAAGCAGAAAGAATACGGCCGTTAAGTCCGCGGATTTCTTCAATACGGCGATCCAAGTTACTTTCCAATAACGGATCAACCATTGAGCGAGAGAGATTTTGACAAGCGCCGATTATTTACGCGAATAATTTGCCGCACTCTCTTTGCGGCTTACATTAATTCCGCGCAATTTCCTCGCACAGCTCGCGGCGGCTATTCCGAGACTCGAAGATCAACGTCGAACCTGTCCGAACGTATTTCGCCCGAAGCACACGCACTTACGCACGCGTTTCATGATATCCTGCGGTTGGCTCAAAGGTCCCTTTGTCACGCTCATAACTGTTAACGCGGCGCAATTGCGACAGCAGATTATATTCCGGTTGTTGCGCTAACCGCGAACTGAGAACCGCTCAGTTTTCAATTCTCTACGTCCGCGATCGTCCTTTGTCATTCGAAATTCTCTGCCTCTACGCTCGAAACTTTGAGCCTCGTGTTACACCATCCGCTTGACAGTTATAATCGCCGATTGGAGTTGCATGATATTAAAATCGGGCGCGAACAAAAGACACAGAGTGCTACACTTGGCTCAATTCGCACAAAGCGAAGAAGAATTAGCTTACTCTTCCATATTAAATTCCTTCAATTTCCGCTGTAAGATCGCTTTGTGCTTTCGAAAGATAATTGTTTTATTTAATTTTGTAATAACTTAATCACACTTTGTGCTTCTCCGTCAGCATTTTTTTATCACATATTAGCGTGACAATGAAATGTGCACGATCACTGAAATTTGCACGAAGCTTTTACTTTCTTCTTAGATCGATAAACATTTGATATTCGTCATCTCATTATCGTTGAATCGTTGAATCCACATAAAAAAAAAGAAACAAAACAATAAGCCCAGGAAATTCCGGGCACTTATCGTTATCGTTATTTGCCAGTGTCGCGCCAACAAGTATTTCATCATGCCGATTATCGCGGATCGCTTGACTGATTGCTTTGCGGATTTTAATTTTACGTCACTGCCTCCGAACGGAGCCCGTCTTCACGCCCGAGTGACACCGTCGGCGATGCGACGTATCGCATGTTGCGTGTGACAGCAGCTGTCACTGACAAATCACTCGGCCCGTTCGAAAATGTAACCTCCTCGCTCGCACGCGTAATAATACGGTAATTCTGGCGGCCGACGACACCAGCGCGCGCGTGAAACGTACACGCGCGGCGCCGGTGAGCGGCGATATTTCCAATTTAAATATCGCTGCTCGAAATCGATGAAAAAGAGCGATGTAACCGAAATTGCAACGACACGCGATACCATCTCGTAATATGCTTGCGACAAATCAATTCATTTACGCAACAAGTGACATATATGTTCCGTGATAATTAAAAAAAGAACACAAGCGTGTTCCGTGTTGTAGCGTTATTTGTTAACCGCGTTTCTGAAAAACGTTCGGACGCACGCCGTCCAATTTTGCGTGAAACGCAATAAACGAGTTTATAGCTGCGATAAAAACAATGTTTGTCCTTTCTCGCGAAGGAGATCAAAGCCGGGGAAGAAGACGTAGATCGCTCTGTCAATTCGGACGAGCGGATCCTCTTCGGTCGCATGCACCTTGTACAGTCGCAGCTGCTGCGGCTGAGATCGCTCTGTCTACGTCAAATGCAGTATACCGCGGGCATAATCGATGTCGTCGTTCCGCCAGATGAATACGACACTATCGTCTGTCTACCCACGCGAAATCCTCAAACACACTTCGACAGCGTTTATCTTATCGACGCGATCTAGGCGACACGGAAAATCGAAGAGCGATTAATGTGTTTGGCTTCTGTTCATTCATAAAGTTTACCTACAGCGTCTCACGCGTGTATCAACAATCCATATTTACCAAGCCTGCCAGTGTCTTTCGACTTCCGCCGCGGTCTGCTAATACGGTCGGTTACTTGAAGTTTCGCTTTTTTCCTCGGCACACGCTGCCGTTATCGGCAAATTGCACAATGTTGCGTTACACAATAAGCTGCGTTTATTTTTAAATCGCAAGACGCGCTGAAAGAATCTATCAGATATCTCTCGGCGACGTGCGACGGAAGTTATCTAAATAATCGCCGTGTTTTGAGATATATTCCCGCGTCGGCTAATGCTAGTCGGATTCGGTCACCGACTGATTTTGATATGACGTCATTTCGCGTCAGCTGAAATTTCGCGAACGTTACGGATTGAGTTTGCGGAGACGTCTCGAGGGGGGGATGACATGTCGCCGCGACATTTTCGACGCCGTTCGACCGGTCCGCACTGGTTACGGCTAGCTCTCACGCGGACGTCTTGCGGACGCAAAAGGAGGGATCAAGACGTCGTTGTTGCGTAAACGTCCCGACGTCGAGGCGTCGCGGCGTCAGTCGTCCGAGGGCCGTTAGGGATTACGGTGCGAGAAAATCGTCAATCGCGCTTCCAAGTTTCTTCTTGAGCGTCAGGGTCGATAGGGGTTGCCACAAGGTCAGTTTGACGCTTCTCAGGGTCGCGAGTCTCGTCCTCTTCGGGGTACGCGCGGCTCTGTCGGAGCTGGCGGATTGATTTCGACCGACCTCGGCCTGCGTTGCGACATTTCAAGGCCAATGGCGTGGTCAAAAAACAGCACGGTTGCCAGCGAGGGCGCCACGCCGATTATCAGCGGTGCCCAGCGGTTTCTGTTCGGCGTTTCTAACAATGTGTTGCGAAATGTTGCACACGACGATATCAATGAGTCATTATTATTGCTTCTAACAACAAGGAGAGTCTACTATCTGCAATGCGTATTCCTTGTAATCTGAGATTCTGAGAAAATAAGAAACATTTCTACTTCAAAGAGCACGACTCTTTTCAAGGAAGAAAATAAATCTATGAGAAATAAATGTCTATTTCTATTATCCCGAATATTAAATTTTATTTATATCGCTGTCATAAATTGTTGATGAAATCACAATTGTATTATTGTATTATTTTAAATCGATCGTATTCGAAATTTGATAACAAACGTAATGATGCAATAGATAACACTATTCGTGATAAAATAATGATACGATAATTGAAATTTTATATGAAGACACGATGTTGCAACTGCAGCATCGTATTGAGTTTTGTGAGCGTTCTCCTTTAAGGCGTTGCATTGCTCTTCTCTCCTGAGTTCTTTTGCGACCTTTTCTCGTGGAATTCTCGTACTTCTTGTAATTTACACGACGCAAAGAGAAAGAACGTTCGCAAACAGTCCGTGCCTCTCGAAGTTAACGTGATTTAATTAATGTAATTTCATTAGCGTTACATTTTTAGAAATTACTCAATTTAATTTGGTGAATACACGACAATTTCATTGCCAGCCAGGCATTACCTGATAACAGGTCTAAAAGTCTTAGACGGTGTTTAATTTGCGATTATATCAGAATTATATATGCGGAGACGCGATAATTTTCCTCGTGTCGTTTTTTTTTTTAACATTCCTCCCACATGGTTGAGAACCGCATTTTTCTTTGATGAAATCTCATGGAGGAAGAAAAGACGAATTAAACGTCACTGTAAATCTTACAACACAAAATTCCCCAACCGCGCTGCTGTCAATTTTAACATTCGAGGAAATTTTCCACTTTAGATCTGACGTAAGATCATGTGTTGCTTTTATGAGGATATTGTTTTGCGGTGTAACAACGTGTATACATTTCTTGAAATTCTATCGTTCGATATAGTTTATTTCTGAATAAACAAATAAATTTTTGACACTAAGCTAAACTATTGCAAATTATATCGTGATATTTTAAATAACAAAATTCATCGTATTGCGTTGCGCATGTTTGTGAAAGAGTGATTAATGAGAAATCATACTTTTGCCTTGACTTCCAGCTCACGTCCAAGGAATTTCTACTCAAACTTGAGTTCATAAAATAAGATTTAATCGCTTCCGGAGCGCTCCAGTCGAAACTGCTATTAATAAATGAAATTTATAGCACTGAAGACTATGTGGAGTGCCTCTTAATATTGCTGAATATCGCTTAATAACAGGTTTTTTGACTACTTTGAAATGATGTTATTTTTTTATCGATAAAAATGTTTTGACATTAAAAATTTTAAATAAATAAATTAATAAAAATAAGGAGATTTTTTGTAAATTATACCGAAGAGATATAAATAAATACTGAAATAATTTTAAATAAATTTTAACAGAATTTTAACGCGAGATTTTAGTAAAAATATATATTATAATAATAGAGATTAAGAAAAATAGTTGAAAATTATTCTCTCGCGCTAAATAAATTCCTGTCAACAGTTTTATTAATATAAAGTACGTTTCTAAATTTTCCAAAAAATCTACCACAACTAGCATAATAATAACAAAAGATGTATTTTAATTTATACAGCTATAGCTTATAAGGCTTTAATACATAATGATATAATAAATCTTGACAGAGACCTATCATCAAAATTATTGACAAGATATTTTTTATAGACAAAATACAAATGTTTTACATTTAACAAATTAATTTAAAATTGCTTAGTTACTTCATAGACAAATTTTGCAAAAGCCACTCGATCCCACGTTCTACGAAAGAAACTTTTCCGTAAACAGTATTCCCCTGCCTGAAGACTTCTCTGTTGTACTTCATTAGTAAACAGGATACATGCCTTCTTCCCTGTCAGAAGACGTACAATTTCAAGAGATCGATTACGCGTTTGTTGCCGCAAAGCCGCAAATTGGAGCCTTGCATAAATATTTCATCGTGCATGACGCACAGTGAACCGTAAGGTCGATTTATTCTAAGGAAAACTCGGCTCCCAAAGTAACCGCACCTGTATCAATCCGCGACTCATCTTATCTATGCCTCCCAGCGACTATAAAAGACAAGCGCTTCGAACGATGCCTTAGTAATTCGTCACAACTAATCGAACGCGGCGCGACGTCACGTGTATCGCCCGGTCCTTTCGAAAACTCATATCCGGCGTATCCTGTGGGGAAAACATTCGGCACACTACATTCGTCCTTGCGTGCTGCTTCGGTCGAGTGATCGTGCAGCAGTCGTGTGCGTAAGGGTAGGACAAAGGACTCGTGTCTCTTCGCAGGACATCAAAGTGACATCCAACGCAGTGATCGCGAGGGACACTTATGAGGGGGCCCAGCCAAAACCCACCGTCGAGCGCGTCAAATATATTTGGGATATTGATCGAAAGCAGTAGAAGAGAAAAGGTGAGTCCTTCTGTATTTGTCGCGCGCTGACGGCGATAAATTTCGCGGTGCGAAATATCGGCGACGACATTCCTGTTGATTAAATCGGATCGCCGCGGCAGTGGGTCAAAATATTTTCGAGATCTACCCGGACGGCCGGCATTCATCCGAAATTCAGTGATGGTTATGAACGTAGGGCGCCTTTTGGATGGATGAACCCGTTCTTCCGTTTCGAAGGGATCGAGCGGATCTCTTTCGAAAGAACTGTTTTTGCTCGGGCGAATCGAGACCCTGCCGTTATTACTGATCACAATATCTCTGTAGAATTGATTCGACAAGTGTGACTAGAATAACTAACATCTTCGTAATCCGGAAAGTTCGCTATTCCACATGTGATGATTTTATTTTCGGTTAATTCGATAGCTTCTTGCTTTGTTCAAATTGATGTGTTTGAAGAGTAAATACAGTTGCTCGACACACTAATTTCTTTTTATTGGATCTCGTATTGAGTTATCTGATTTTGATAAAACCAGTCATTAAACTTTAAATGCCGCGACCGGAGACAATATCCGTCATGCGTTTGAGACATTTCCGCGCTTCATGACTCTCTCTCTCTCTCTCTCTCTCTATTGTAATTATGTACTACGATGTTGTGCAGCAAGCGTGCAAACAAGCAAGACTGCGTGCGTAATAGGAGTAGATGCAATAGGAAATCGAGAACAGCACTAAAGATCAATGTCCGCCTACAGGCTGTAATTTGCAGTCATGTTAAATCAGTTACCTTTGATATCCCTGGCAATGTATTCACCCGCTGTGTATAGCGTAGGTATAAATTGTGCTCAATTGCAGCGCTTCATAAAGTCGAGAGTTGTATTATAGTTGATCGAGAATCGTCGATATCGAGTGCCCTCGCGCAAATTCACCGCTACTCGCGAGCAATCCGTCCCATTATTAAAATTGTTTATTACAATCCGTTACACTCTGCAAATATTATGAATTCTCGCGATTATACTCGAGAATGCCCGAGAAGCATTCTCCTCTTCCCATTGCGATGAAGTCTAGTTTATTGCCAGACGACCCGGATCGATCTATTTTTATCGCGCCGCTCCTTCCAACGAAGACCAACGATCGTTTAACCATTGCTGCCAAGTTTTTCGACGAAGTTTTCAATTGAATCCGCTTGACACAGCATATTCGTCTTCCTCACGTTTTTGTGTGAATAACTTTCAACGAAAGAGTAACAGCTGGCTGCCCCGAAAATAATCTCGTCAACGTGTGCGTTAAGTAAACGATACATTTATTGTACACGTGTTGAACTAAATCTCCTTCGAAAATTAAAACTCGATTGATTAAAAAAAGTAATATAAAAAGGAGCAGAAAGCCTATGCTGGACGTGCAATTTTATTTCAAATCAGAATATTAACAAACGTTTCGACCTATATCAGGCCTTTATCAGTGTTGTTTTTCACAAGTTCTGAAATTTATAAAATTCATAAAATATATGAAACAGTTTCAAAATCATTACAGTGCTTATTAAAAGAGTTGCAACGATAATTTTCAACTTTGGATGCCAGAATATGTTATTTAGTTCTAATTGTTCAAGAATTACTAAAATAAAATTGACCCGCAAATTAAAATAAAAAACGAGTGAATATAAAAGAAATTAATAAATTTAAAAAAAAAGATATATACATTTTCTTGATGTGTTCAATGCTTCGAATAATTGGAGAGAAGAATAATGAGCTCTTCTCGACGACTCTAACTGTGCATAGATTTAGTAAAATAAAGTATACTGATCTTGAGAAGTCAACAATTAAAATAAAAGTGACCAGTATGTTTAATAAGGTCAATGAGAGGGATGTTGTTTGGTCAGGCAGAAGAAATGCTTGGGCCTAAAGTGGGAAAATTTTGAAAAGGTGGGGAGAAAGGAAGGAATAGCGAAGAAGGAGAGAAAGCAGTCATACGTTACGAGATAAATTTAATACTGACAAATATTCATTCGGCAAAAACTCTGTATTACTTTGTTGGTTTAAATCTTTTTTTTGTCTTTTTATAAAAAGCATTTCTGATATGAGTCGTTTATTATAAGAATGTTTATTTATCAAGTATTTTAACATTCTCCCAATGGAAATTATGTGAAAAATCCAATCTATGTCGTGAGATGACAGAAGGTGAATCACTATTTTTGTTAATGTCAGATCTATGCTCTTATTATTAATATGAAGCTGGCTTTTTCTATTTCTAACAATCTACAGCAATTTATAAAAAACGGGCAAGGATATTTTAGATGCATGTTCTCATTGTGGCTTAATTTACAAGATTTTTTGCTGTGACTGTGAGGCTTCTTATGTGAGTCAGACAAAAAGACTGCTGTCTACTGGGATTAAAGAGCATAGATCTGACATTAACAAAAAAAGTGGTTCACCTTCTGTCATCTCACGACATAGATTGGATTTTTCACATAATTTCCATTGGGAGAATGTTAAAATACTTGATGAAGAACATTCTTATAATAAACGATTCATATCAGAAATGCTTTTTATGAAAAGACAAAAAGAAGGTCTAAACCAACAAAGTAATACAGAGCTTTTGCCGAATAAATATTTGTCAGTATTAAATTTATTTCCTAACGTAGACTACTTTCCTCTCCTTCCTTGCTATCCCTTCCTTTCTCCCCACCTTTTCAAAATTTTCCCACTTTAGGTCCAAGCATTTCTTCTACCTAACCAAACAACATCTCTCTCGTTGACCTTATTAAACATACTGATCACTTTTATTTGAATCGTTGACTTCTCAAGATCAGTATACTTTATTTTATTAAATCAATGCACAGTTAGAATCGCCGAAAAGAGCTCATTATTCTTCGTTCCAATTATTGGAAGCATTAAATACATCAAAAAAATGTATGTATCTTTTTTTTTAATTTAGTAATTCCTGTTATATTCACTCGTTTTTTATTTTAATTTGCAGGTCAATTTTATTTTAGTAATTCTTGAACAATCAGAACTAAATAACATGGTTTGGCATCCAAAGTTGAAAATTTTCGTTGTGGCTCTTCTAATAGCCACTGTAATGATTTTTAACATGACGCCTAGCAAATGACAAATTTAAGAACATGCAAAGTATCGATTTTGTAACTTTTTTATATATTTTGTGAATTTTATAAATTTCAGAACTTGTGAAAAACAACACTGATGAAGGTCTGATATAGATCGAAACGTTTGTTAATATTCTGATTTAAAATAAAATTGCACGTTCACATAGTATAGGCTTTCTGCTCCTTTTTATATTATTGCTTTAAGGGGGAACACCAGGGTGACGGCCGAAAAAAAAGGCTATTTTCGTGAATTTTTTTTCATTATCTAATAGTTTGTTTAATTTATAAACTATATATGTTAAAAGTACATACTTATATTATGTTACAAAAAAAATTTCATAAAATAATATTCATATTTATAATAACTATGGTGATTGATGTGCACCTCGTCTGAAAAAACATGGGTGCACGGGCGCTCGTGCTGCATCTGAACGGGAGCTCTAAAATAAATTTTTTAAATTGTGATTTAAAGTATATGAATGTAGTTTTAGTTGCACGTACGGATTTTTTGATAAAATAATTTTTGACAAAATGGCACTGTTTAAAAAAAAGTTTTCAATTTTTCAACAAAAATTCGTTACTTCTTTAATTGTTTTTCAAAAACTAATAATCCGATTGAAAAATCCGTACGTGCAACTGAAGACAATTTTGTTGTAAACATTCTGTCCAAATTTCAAATTATTCGGATAAAAATTGGCCGAGATATGAGAGCGCCCAGTTACGAAAACGTGGTTTCGAGAAAAACGCGTTTAAAGTTTTACAACTAATTGGTTCATATAAAACGATAAAATTTTGTAACGAACCAAAGTGCGTCCAATCCGGGTGCATATGAAGTGCCTTCTGAAGCAATAGAACTCAAGCACGTAGACAACAAAAGAATACCGGTAAAACTCCCTACAGACAGATCAAGGGGACTGCCGAATCTTTTCAGGTAGCGCGCGGCCGGTTCTACTAGCGGCATCTGACCAAGTTCTACTCTATGACATATTTACTATAGTTCCGTTACGAATTTCACCATAATATTATAGGGACATATTTTTAAGACTCCAAACATCACAAAAATGCAAAAAAAAAATCGATTTTTTGAAACCGTCACCGTGGTGTTCTCCCTTAATCTTTGAGGCCTCTTTGATAATTATTTTTAAAAAAGTATTATGAAAAAATAAAAACAATGTGTTTTTATCGCATTAAAGATTAATACAAATAACTTCTGTTTTAGATAAATTGAAAAGTATCTTCCAATTTGTCTAATTAATTGCCTTTTCAAGATTACATCTTCATTTACATTTACATTTCTAATTGCTCCACGTTCAGTTTGTGTAAATAAAAATATTTACGCCGAGCAAACTTGGCCGACTGACTTACGCATCTTGACAGCAGAGATATGTATAATAATACAAAATCTCTATTACTTGTTTTATACTGATTTTCGGAATTTTTTTAAGCACCGTAAACACAATTTTTATTGCATTGTTTGTGAAAACTGATTCAAATGCGGTAAATTAATCGCGTACGCGGAATATTAATAAAATTGAAATTTTAGTACGAGGCAAACGCATTTTTGCCTCTGTCTAGACATTCGTCTTTACGATATTCACAGTGGAATTGTATCTTGAAAAAGTTTTAATATTAAACGATCTTATGAGAAAAAAGTCTGTGCTTCACAACTTCTGCATATCGGATTGCGTCTACTTGAGAATGCATTTGCAATTTGTAAATATTTGCAGCAAATAAATATAGCAAAGTCACCGCTTGCACGCGTGTGATTGAGGAACACTTGCATAGCGTTACGTTGTATTACATATGAAAATGAGCAATTTTTGAAGACGATAAAATCTTCATCTGATAATGTTTATCTATAAAGCCGGTTAATGTCACATGGATACGTCATAAAAAAAACTGATAAGTTTTGCCTTGACAAAATAGGAAATTTTTTTATGATTTCATAATATTGTTCTACACATTTACAGTATATTTATAAACGAAAAGGTTGTAATATGAACTTTATAAATACGAAAAAAAAAACTTGAAGAAAGAATTTAATTATATACACGCGTATATTTTAATTAATGTTATATTATTATACTATATTGCACATAAATATTATTATATATTATTATACACGATATCACACAGTAAAGCGATTAATCATATCGTTGCCTGAGGTGTTCGCTACATTATTCTAAGCACAAGCATACTTTGAGCTTGCTATTATCTACTATCTGACCTGTTTAATTACATAATGTAATTCATAAGCGATAATTAAGCTCTTAAATAATAGTTTCGATAACATATTTCCTGCTACACTGTAGAATATTCCTTCACGTTACGTGTACCTTTCACGCGCACATACGCATCTCGTGATATCTCGTAGATATCTGAATTTTATAAAGAAACCGGAAACTATCGACAAATAAACGATAATAAGTTATTTACTGTTCAGGAAAGCTCTCGACAAGCTCTCTATTGTGTCTTTCGGGCGATTTAAACACGCTGTTAATCAGGTAATTTCAGATTCTTTGTTTTTGAAATCGATTTTTCCTCGGGGCAATCTCCGATAAAGAGCTGCATCAATCATTTTGCATACACCGCGATCATGTACGCTTTAAGCTGCAATTTTGTAGACTGAATGTAAGATTTCGATAAGAAAAGATAGTGGAAATGGAAACATGGGGAATGACTTTCAGAAAGTTGATAGTGTCTTTCCGCGATTGCTCTTATCTATGAGTTTATGCCCGTGCTTTATCTAATGACTCGATATTGATAACAGTTTCTTTGTTGCTCCTTTTGAACACACTGATCTTCGAAGTTTTCTAGAAATTTCGAATAGATGGTGCGATAAATTTTTATACAAAAATTTCTAAGCAAGAAAGCAAAAATTTCTAAGTTCACTCTCTGTTATATAAATAATTAATATCAACGCCTGAATCATGATTAAGTCATTCGTCAAAAGCTATAGATAAACACATTCTCGACATATT